AGCAATGCAATAGGTGAACCAAATTCCCTAAATTTTTAAAAACAAACCGAACCCCACTTTATTCAATCAGATTGATTGGCAGGGATATGCTTTACTCGTGATAGTCCATGAGTGGCAGTCCTGTATAGTACTGTAATGCCATCTTAGAGAACACCTCATTTTCAAAGAGCCTGTAGCAACCTGTATAAAGTAAATTTGAAATAGTGGTTGCTGTTGCAGAATTGGTTTGATAAAAGCTCACCTGCCTGGGCAACACTCGCCATAAAGTGGAATCCAGTGAAGACGGGGAAAGAGACCCCAAAAGGTAAAGAGGCAAGCGTAGCAATGAAAATACTCACCTCTGTGTATAATCCAGTAAAAGTGGTTAAGACAGCTACAGGTGGTTGTCAAACACCCTCCTATGATGATACTGCCAGATCATGCAAATAATTTCAGAAAAAAGTATTAGGGGGGGGGGGATCCACATACCAGCCTACAAATTGTCCTCCAGCGGACAATTCAACCGGGCTGCTAAGGACATAGAAATGTGACTAATCTGATTAGATGTGACTCACAGAAGATTTCTTGCCTTCAAAGAGAGCCAAGAATAAGCAATATGGAACAATTTCATACCCACCTTGTCAATGTTACCGGGGGTGAATCCTGGGAATTGAATGATCCCAATAAATAAAAAGTCATTGTCTAACCATTCTAAAACCATTAGTTGGGCAACAAAACCTTCAAGGCTTTCACTGGACATAACAAATGATCGAAATCTGATTGGTCATAGAAGTGAGAAATAGTGAACAGATGAATTGGTGAAAAAGGATTTATCCATTTCTGTGGCTGAGTGTTGTTGAAAAGAAGAACCAGTCTGAGGATGTACACACAATGATAAAGCATCCTGTGGACAATCAGTGCAAACCTTTTCAACTGGCAATGTCGGTAGGTCAGCAGCCACGAAAAAGAAACCTTCAGGTAAAGGTGATACATGCTAAGGACACAAATGGGTGCTAAGAAAGGGCATGTAATGTAACTATAATATACCAGTTAGTTAAACAGAATGGTCATTTGGGATAAAGGACCCAAAGTGACTTGAGAAAGCTGGAGAGTACTGGGGACTCAAAGAAGTTTTGTCTCGAATATCAAACGGTAGTCAATAAGGCTGCCATAAACAGAACGATTATGGAAGATGCAAAAACCCTTGCCAAAGAATCAGGTCAAAAAACGAATATGGTTGGTACGTCTGAGTGAAGTGGGTGCAACCTACTCTCAATACAACACTGCTAAAATGTGTGCCACTTCCATTTAAAAATGTCCATCACAGGACTAAGCAAAGCCTGAGACAGATACATTGCAACCATAGAAATTAAACCCCAATGCTATATGAAAGACTGCATAACCTCCTTGCTTGAAGCATGAGCTTCTGGATAGCTGAGTGTACCATGTCAGATCATAGTTTCCTCCACAGAGATAGCCAAAGAAGAAGAAGTGGAAGAGATGGGCACTCCCTACGGTACTGCAGAAGCAGAAACCAGGATGTAGTTGCCAATCCGGTGCTATCAACAGAACCCAACAATGGCTTGGAGCAAATCATAGTGAGTACCTTGGATAACATATGAATTGGAAGGAATTCCTAGAGTGGTAATCCTATCCCATCCTGACAGAATGCATCCATTGCCAAAGCCCGAAGGTAAGGTACTGAAAACCAAATTGCCAGTAGTTGGGTGTTCCAATGAGTGGTCAACCCATCAATCATCAGTGTTTCAAAAGGAGAGCCAACCCACAGAAAACTTTGCAATGTAGCATTAATTCTGTTGGGACGATCTGGTTGGGTTGAGACAATTGATCTGCTACTGCAGCCATCACCTGTGAAACATGGCAAGCCAATAGGGTGATATGATAGGGGTGATTCTGATAATGGAGATTCTAGGTTTGAAAACAATGAGCCTTGAACAAACTACCCTTTGATGGGAAAATCAAGCCACCATTGTGGAATTGTCAAAGAGAAGCCTGAAGATGTTTCCCTTAATAACCATCACCATTTGAATAGCAAGAAGGACTAAGACATTGTGTAAGTAAGCCTCATTGTCTGTGCGTAGACCCTGAAATTTCTAACTGTTGAGATGTGCACTCCATCTCTGAAGCGAGGGATTCCTAAACATATGTATCTCTGGATGAGGTGGTGGCAGAGGAACCAATATCTTAGTATTGTCCCTACTTAACCACCCCTCGAGTTTGAAAAAAGATCCATAATAAAGAAACTGGAGAATCTAGTGAATCAATGTTTATGATCCCTTGGTTGCATAAAGCACATTGAAAGGATCTCTTGTGTGTTCATCTCAAAGGCGTGAGGGATTTGAGTGATGCCCACATTCCCAAACAAGAAAGAACCATCTATGTCATGGGAGAAGGATAGGGAGTAAGAGCTTGGCTTCCTGTTCCATAGCGTGGAGCCAGATGGGAGTCCGCTGAGCCAGACTATAATACATGATGGAAAAAAATAAAAAAATACCCAGCCTAATGACTTATTGAGTTGGAGCAAGAATAGATGTTTAAGCTTTTAGAACAAAGCCTGCATTGGTTGTTCTGAAAGTAGAATCCAGGTGTGACATCTGGATTCTTGACGAGATGGTACCAGCAGTAACTAATCCATTGAATGGTGTGTGCACAGGGTTAGGGAATGGGGGTGACAAGAAAAAGCTCATATGAATTGGCAGAACACTCATAGTGCCTAAGCTAGTCTGAAGGCAAAAACCCTGAAATGTAGAACCTGATCCTCGTGCACAAAAAATGACGAAAGTGGCGTTTTTTTATCCATTATGTCAATATGCAGATAGGAGCCAACAAAATCGAACTTCGACATCGACAATCCTAGTAAAAGAAGCCAACTCAGATTTAGGAATGAATCACTTGTGAACCTTGAAGAATAGAGCATTGAAATAGATGAGAAACATCAATGACTGGACACCTATCTCCTATTTCTTAGACAGAACACCCGACGGGAATAAAACTCCAAAAGAACTAGCATGACACTCTCTCTCTACCTGCAGATCAACCAAACTCTGTTAGCCAAAGATCTAAATTCCAAAATCCTAGGACTGTGTGAATAATGATGTTGAAGATGTGAACTGCATAACTAATTCCAACTCAAGGACCTGTAGTGCCCATGGATCCTAGGGTAAGGTCATTCCACATACCAAAAGTCTCGCAGTCAAGCCCCCACAAACCTTGAAATCATAAAATAATACCTGACACTGTGAATGGCATTCTGACTGAGCAGTGGAACCCGTGGACAGAATCTATTCTGGATACCAATGTACTGAGGGGCTGATGTCAGGGGTCAGAATCCTTGAAAATGGGTGGAACTATTACCCCCTGTAGGCACCAACTCCACCTTAGAACCCCTAATTTCGAGGAGCAGATGTACTTGAGTTGAAATATATGTCCACCTAGTAGTAGTAGGCTAAATCATGTACTTCCAACAACCATGGTGGTTAAAGCCTAGCTGTTCTGTCTCGTAGCTGAGCAGTAAACCTCTCTCCATGAAACACAATGTCTGAGGATAGAGAGAAAACTAAATATTTGCGACCAGGCCTTACAGCCATCAAGTAAGCACAGGCTCAAAAGCCAAAACATCATGCTTAATGTACCAGCTGAAGAAAACAATTCAGAAGAAGCTGATCCCAAAGTGGCCTCCTTTTTGATGTATTGTAAAGACTGTTCTGATTACTGTTGTTAGGAACAACATGTTGTCAGGTAAGTTTGTTGTGTTAGAGCAAAACAACATTGGGCCAACTGCTATGTCCCCAATAGGGAATCGAACCCTGGAATTCAGCATTGCAAGTCCGTAAGTTTATCACTGTCCTACAGGGGACTGAGAAGCTAACAGAGTAATCAAAATTCTCTCCAGAATGTCCAGGATTGCTTCAGAGCCCCCTGAAGGAAACCACTGAAATGAATATATGTCTCCGTCTCATTACAAATAAGATCAATGACAGTCTCAACCGAGAGAAAAAGGCAAAAAACTTCCTAGATTATTAGTAATTGTGAGCAATACTTGTATTCACTTAAGCAGAAAAAGAATTCACACTGAAAGGTTGAAAACACAAATACTTCAACAAGTCTCAGCAAAAATAAAGATATCTTTGCATGACTGTGTCAATGAAAAGAATGAATTTCATGTGAATGTAGATGGGAGCATTTGAGCAAGGAGGTGTGGTGCACTCCGATTGGGTGGAGGGTTTTGCAGCATGATGTATTACCATACAGTAGTGAAAATTCATGTATTTTACATGAAATTTAGCTGGGAGTATTCACAAGGCTGGTGGCATGCAAGTTTCTCAGGCAGATTAGTGTGACTTCAAGAGAAAAATAGCTTTCTGTGCACAGAAGTGAATAATTGTATCAGAAAATGGTATTATTCATTATATTTCATATTTTTCAAATTTTCATGTCACTATACATTAATGATTTCACTACATTTAGTGTTAGGGTACAGAAAATAAGAGATGAATTATATTTTCATCCAAAACAACTTTTGACATTTATTTAGGAAGTTCTACAGATTATGTAAATAAAATATGAAAAATGAAAACTGTAAGGTAAAAAGAATATTTAATTAAAAAATAATTATTTTTATTTTTAGCATAAAAATCACCTTTCACTCAAACTGAGTAAAGATTTTGAAAATTTCCAGACAAATCTTTAGTAAGCATTAGATATTAAAACATCTGATTTTTTAAAGACTTAAATGTGTACTAAAAGCTTGCCAAATTTAATGAAGATACAAATATTAAATTCAGATTTACAGTAAACATTACTATGTATAGCTTCACAGATAGAAAATTAGTCAATTTAATATAGTCATTGAATAGAGGGTTAACACAGAATACAATATGTCAACTATCATCTCACAGATATGATGCTTTTTTAACTATATGGCTGATAATAAAAAAAAGAACCATAATAATGTTCAAACACAAGGTAGAGTATGTCAAAATCATGGAATGAAAACTTACCTGACATATTGGCACCTGCCATTACACCTGTAGTGCCACTGAAAAACACAGCAAAAACCATAGCAAAACTAGTACTGTCCTGAGTTGTAGTGTAATCAATAGTGTAGTTACCTATGACAAAGAATAAATATAAAAATTCAGCTTATAGCTACATATCAGTAAGAATACACAAGTAAGGTATGGTAATGAATAATGTTTACCTGTTAGCATAACAATAATTTTGTATTATAAGACAACTGAATTTCATAATACACTTTGATGTAAGAGTACCAAAGAACACAGTCCCAACATTTCACAACACAGATTTTTCTGAATATCTCTTTACCAAGTTAATACTCTTATATATACACACACTCCTTGTGTGCTATTCACAAATTGTAATGGCATCTTAACTTCACATTTACTAACCAATGTTCTTTTCATTGCTTTCAATTTCTAAATTGAGATTAGATTTATGTCTCTTCAACTCTTTTGCAATGAAGGCAACCTTGTGACTATTTTGTACCCATTACAGTTTTCATACTATAGCTTTTAATACACTTTGTGTATCTTCTCAAAATTTGGCAGACTTTTAGTAAACATTACAAGTCTTTTGTACACAAAAAATCAGATTTCTTAATGAAGTACTTTTCCTAGATTTGTCCGTGGATATTTATAGTATTTTTATATACTAGTCTGAGTGCTAAGTGATTTTCATGTTATGATTTAAAATATTTTTCTTTGTCTCAAAAATCTCAAATTTTATTTGTGTAATCTCTGAAATACCCTAAATAAATTTCAAACGTTTTTTCAATAAAACTTTATATTTTATCTGTTATTTTCTCTACCCTAACTTTATACAAGGTTGGTGAATTTGACTGACATCGTAACTCCCCAAAAATTTAAATAAGTCTAAATTACCCTTTTTCTTTCAGAATGACTTCAAATTGTAATATGAAACTACATTTGTTTATCCTAAATAACTTTACACACATAATAGTATACATCTATTTACACTTCAATTTTATTGTTTTATTGCCCTTTGAACTACTAATTGTGCCATTATAAGTTGCAAATCACTTGGCAGTTGTGCAGCTCATGTTATGCTGTAGAAATACATTATGCACAAGCTATGTGCAAACAAATCCTCATGAAACATTTTATTATATTAATATTTATTTCACCTAATCTAACCTTAACTAACATAAGTTTCTTATTTTTACATTTTAGTTACTTTTATAATAATAAATAAGGAATACATATGAAAAAATAAGAAAACAGTACTTACCTGGGTCTTCTTTTTTTTTTGCTGTCGACTGTCGATGATACTTAACCCCCCCTTTTTTTATACTAATGGTAATGCTGCACAAAATAATTATTTAATTAAATAATGCACCAAGGAACACAGAATAATAGTGTGCTAAAAGCAGAGAATGTCCCATAATTATTACAATTTTTCTGGCTATCTAACTATGTGACAAGAGCAGTTAAAACTTCATCTAAGCTCATCAATGTGTTTCCCATGAGAATCAAGCTTGAACTGAAAGTAAAATTGACAATTCTCTTTACAGGAAACACAATATGTAATTTTATAGATAAAAACCTTGGCTTGCTATTGGATATAAGTAATATAGTATTGAATGTCAGAGAGAACTATTGACAATGTCTGAAAGAGAGGATGTGGGTGTGGGAAGAGGGGGTTTGATTGTCTATTTCATGGCTATGTAATCAAACAAGATTGAAGGCTAATAAAATTATAATTTGCTTGACTGATGAATACATAATATAATATAATGGAGGGTGGTAAATACATTAGAGAAGAGGGAATGCCTGGAGATCAAATGTCACAATTTACACACTCTGAGAAATTCTAAATTTTGTTATACTGCCTTATAAAAGTAAGAAATTAAAACTTGTATATTATTAAAATTTGGTTTATTAGCTACGTTTTTACACTATATTTAATAATATATTGTGAAAAAAAAGTAGTTTAATTAAATTTTGAATATAACTCACTAAAAATGCAGCAAGGTTCCTGCATTTTTGTGAAAGTTCAAAAGCATAAATATCACTTAATAATTTCCCCATCAGTTCTTAAAAATTACACGTTTCTAAAAGTTCCACATGTAACAAACAATATTAAAGTACAAATGTTATAATCATTATTTGTACAAACAACTGCATATTTTACTCATTATTTACTAGAGTAAATAAGCTTTTAAATGGCTGTCTAACAAATTCATTAATAAACTTTTCATACATCACAAAAAGGACTTATTGTCACTGGATAAAGCAGAATGTAATGTAGTTGACATATCATTACATTTTTCTTTGCTTTAACTCATAAATTCTTATAATTTATAAGTGTCTTTTTATAAATGCAAAATATTTTTTAACTCAAAATAATTAAATGTATTTATACTCACTCCAAATATTACTGGTGAAAGTTTCCCAGCTAAAGCCTGAGTATATACCACAGGTAATGTTGAACTGACGAATATACTCATTCTCCATTGGTAAGGGGATGCACCCTGGTTTAAGAGCAAAAAAGCTCACTATCACAGACAAAGTGCTCACAAGCACAATGATAAAGATGAAAACAGATGTTCTGGCAAACATAGAAGCTCCAACCAAGCAAACCAGGAGATTAAAAAGATTAAGCAAAGAACCATATAGAAATTTCCACACAGAATCAGTTGGTAGCAAAGATGCAATGCTTCCTATAGGGTTAGAACAAAGTGACTGTTATGACTGGTCTTGCTTCTAAATAATTTTTTGACATATTATTTGTTAAGAAAAAATAGTGATATTCTTTTAATCAAGCTGATTTTAATTAAAATAATATGATTGTAATGTAGAGAAATAGCACACTTTCTAGAAAATTTCATTCATTTAGCCTCATGATTGGAAAAAGATTGAAGGTGTCTATCAGAAATACACATTAGTATAACTAATTCTATTGTTTATTCATTAAGAGTTATAAACTAGAAAAAACTACCATTTTCAATATCAGTTTTTTAAGTTAATAAGTAAAAAGATTTCAAAAGGATAGTTTTCAGTCTCTATCTAATGCAAAAGTGAAAATTTTCCTTACTTAAAAATTTATGAGTTAGATACTCACTTCTCCACAGAACCAATAGCTAATATATCTCATCACCACCAAAAAAAGCTTTTGCATTCCTGCCAAGCCATTGAACAAAACTTACACCACTACATGTAATAATTTGTAATGTGCTAGTCTATGATACAATCAGCATGTTAATATGTATACCAAAAGCTCATTCATTTCCTCAGCAGAACTTTTGCACTTATTAGTTTCAACTTTTAGTTAAGATTTAAAGTGCTATTTTTTAACCTTCATTTTCTTGATTTTGAGAGAAAAAAAAAGAAAAAGATTTCAGATAGTTACTAATGCCAATTATTATCGTTCCTTAAAATCAATTTCATTTTTCCTTTTAATAAAATTATGAGAATTTGAAACACATGTTACAGTCTCTGTAATATAGTTTCTTTGACAGAAACACCCCCCCCCCCCAATGTAATTTACCTAGCATTTCTGGGTTTCAAGAATTAATTTCAATTTCGTCAATATAAACATGACCAACGACTAAGTACCACAAATATAACAAACCTACTAAAAACAAAGAATAATTATATTTTCATGAATCTTATTGAATATGACTTCTCAAATCCAGGTTTCTGAAAACTCCAAAGGTCCAGATTCTACTACAAAGGATTTCACTTATTTTCTTGAATTGGACAACTGGAGTTACTCTGACAATGAGTGGGTTCCATTGTATCTCGTATATATATATATATATAATTAAATGTAAAGTCATGAAAGACAGAGAGAGAGAGAAAACTGCCTTCCCACATATGGCTGAAGACAGTGAAAGGTGGTAAAGATGTGGGATGTTGTGGGCTAGAGCACCCACAGCTGCTCAAATTTTTCATTTTTTTTTCTTAATCACTTGAGGTTGGTGAAGTTGAGGTTAAATTGGATAGATGGTAAACTTCCAATGCAATTTGGGTCTTACTTTCGCCAGTACCTTTAAGAACCAGGGTACATTACCTAATGACCCACCTTATGATTTGTGCCCTGGTGTTGGCTGTTTGTATTGTGGCTGTGATTTTTTTCTTCTTCTCCTTTTTTCATGAATTTACATTTAATTATATTGCATCTCAGATTTGGTTATGCTGCATAAGATTTGTGATAAACTTATTTTTTATGTATTCTCTTTTTAAATTTTAGCTTTTCTAAATAACTAAAATATATATTTATTTTTAGTTTGAGACAGTTGTTTTTTGTGAAGCTGCAAGAAAAAGAAATTATCAATGACTCACCTCTTTGGAGGAATGGCAACTGAAGGAAGATGAAACCCAGAGCTAGAAGGTGTAATTATTTTGACACAATGGTGCCAGGGGTCATCTACATCTTGCCTATGATATCACATCTAGTGGATGTCAATACCCAGAGACAAGGGAAGCCATGAAATGATGAACATTAAAGGAGATGCCATGAAAAAAAAAAAATGAAAGAAATCATCTCCCACAGAGAAAGAGATATGCCAGATGAGTTGTTCAATTTGCTTGAACAGGACAATAGGACAGGAGATTATCAAGGTCCGAATGATTATACAGAGAAGGTGATTGGACAAAACATTTGACCATCCTGCCAAGTAGACCAAGTCTTAAAAAAAAAAGAAGAGAGGTCTGGAAATAAAATTAATCTGTCCCTGTAGAAGAGTGTGGGCATCCAAGGCAAAAATATCACTGAAGCATCTCCTGCAAGTAGGGATAAATCAAATGTCTTAAAAGAAAGATGGTATAGGGCACAGGTTCAAATGGAATACACATAATAATTCTGACAAGTAAACTCAACACAGATTAAAGTCCAGAAGAGTAACAAGGTGAGGAGGACTACAGTTTAAAGTGGCTTGGAAGAGGTTCATTAGAACCTGATATATAAAAGGAGATTGGCCAAGGAAAAGATGGAAGGCCATCAACAACACGTCACTGTAATAGCAGGTAAAAAAAGAAATGGTAAATGGACCAGCATCAATAAATTGTCCACTTGTGATAATAAATTGCAAGAGTGGATGGCCAACATGAGAAAATAAGAAAACTTGCTATTGTGCAAGTAGAACCTTCTCATCTTTGAATGGACTACATAAAAGCCACAAGTAAAGATCAAGGTGTGGAACATCACAATGAAAGATGGATGTCTGAGGCTGATGGGAAAATGGACCTTCAAGACCGATGAGATAGAGGCTCCAGGATCACTGATAGGCAAAGGAGCAAAAATCATGATTAACTCTTTCATTACAGGCTCAATCAGTTTGACTGAAAAAATTGCCCTTTATAGTTTCCATACTATAACTTGTAATATATTTTGTATGTCTTTACTAAACTTTGTAAGCTTTCAGTTATCATTACAAGTCTTTAGCAGACAAAAAAATCAGAATTTTTAATAGAGTATTTTCACTAAAAATGTCTCCATGAATATTTGGAGTCAAAGTGTTGACTGCTCCAAGTGAAAGGCATTTTAATGTTAAGATTAAAAATCTCAAATTTCATTTGTGTAATCTGTACTCTATACCTCATAACCACCAAGAAAAAAAAAATGAAATAACAGTAAATTACCATTTTTTTTTCTATCTTGAATGACTTCAAACTGTAACATGAAACTACATTTGTTTATCCTAAACAGCTTTAAACTTGTAACAGTATACATCTATTTCTATTTAAATTTAATTGTTCTAATGCTCTTTGAACCATGTCTAACTAATATTCATGGCACACAGGTTTAATATCACTTGGCAAATATATAGCTTATGTTACCCTATCGAATTACACAATGCACATGCTACTCATTAGTTGCTTGTGAGTACAATTATTATTATTTATTTTACCTAATCTTATCTAAAAAGTTTCTAATTCTTACACTTTAGTTACTCTTACAATAATATATAATGAAAAACAAGAAATAAAGTACTTAACTGGGTCTTCTTTTTCTTGCTGTCAATGAAACTTAACCCTACTTTTTATACTAATGGTACTGCTGCACTAAATAACTTTTTATTTAATCAAGTAATGCACTAAAGAACACAGAGTAATAACATGCAAAAATCAGACAATTTCCTATAATTATTTCTATTTTTCTAGCTTTATAACTATGCAACAAAAGCCATTAAAAATTCATCTAAGCTCATTGATGTGTTTCTTGTGGGAATAAAGTTTGAAGTGGAAGTGAAACAGACAATTCTCTGTATGGAAAACAATGTAATACATCATCTGATAGATTTAAACATTGGCTTTCTATCAGTTATAAATAATATAGTATTAAATGTCAGAGAGAAATATTGGCAATTTCTGAAAGAGAAGATGTTACAGATGGGAATGGTAAGAGGGGTCTGATTTTTTTTCTAGTTTATGGCTTGGTACCCAAATAATATTGAAAACTATAAAAATTATGTTTTGCCTGAGTGGTGACATTATAATGTGTAATTTACATTAAATTTCATACTTCTCGTAGGGGTAGTAAATAAATTAGAGAAAAGAGGATACCTAGAAAGCTAAAGAGCAAATTTCACAAGTTCTCATACTAGAAGAAATTGGGGATTTTTTTTCATTGCCTTATAAAATTAATAACTTAAGACTTGTATAATATTGAAATTTGAATTATTAGCTATATTTGATGCCAAGTTTATTCATATACCATGTTAATAAAGTACTTTAATTAAAATTTAAATGTAACTTAATAAAACTTCATGACATATGCAGAAAATGATGCCTGTAGCGAGATGGTTAAGCTGGCTAAAAAGATACAATGAGAAGTTCATGACAAGGGGTGTTATGAATCAAAGACAGCACCCTAGAAAGAAGTAGAACAGGAGGATAGGCATTCAAAAGGACAGTAGACCAATCCAGACCCAGGAAGAAAACTCCCAGGGCAATGGAATCTGGGACTGGTGGCCAAAAAAGTAGAAGCTACATAGAGAGAGGATTTGCAAACACATCAATAGAGGACTCCAAAGTGGGAACAAATTCAGAGAAACACTAAGAAATGTTAATATCATGTGGTCAGAAGAATTTGGTCTGATTAAGAGAGCCAGTCCACTATTAGCCACTAAATTTATAGCTCCCAGCACAAGGAAGGCCAATAATTCGATGTTGTCATCATAAGCCAAAAAGTAGAGCTTAAGAACAACACAAGGAAGGCCAATAATTCGATGTTGTCATCATAAGCCAAAAAATAGAGCTTAAGAACAGCACAAGGAAGGCCAATAATTCGATGTTGTCATCATAAGCCAAAAAATAGAGCTTAAGAACAGCACAAGGAAGGCCAATAATTCAATGTTGTCATCATAAGCCAAAAAGTAGAGCTTAAGAAATAAAAGAAGGGTTCCCGAATGTACCACTCTTCTGGCTGATGCAAGAAGCAACAATGGAGTTATCAAAATAGATCAAAACAGGATTTCTAGACAACTGGAAATCAAAAGATGGTGGCAGATCCACTGAACTGCTCACATCTTAAGGACACTGACATTGAAAGACTGCTGCTCCACAGAACTTCAAACACTGAAAATGGTAAAAGTATCCAGAACTGCATTCCATCCAGTTAAAGGAGCATCCATGGACAAAAGTAAATTGGGGTGGAATGGAGGATGATGGATACTTGAAGTTATGTGGAAACACTTGATCCAGTAAGATAGCAAGAATCTACTAAAGGGACCACAGAAGGACATGCAGAGGGGAAAAAGAAATGCAAGACCCCAAAAGAGACAGAACTCCACATGCAGTAAGAAAAGGAGACATGACAGCTATGGAAACCAGAAGCTACATATCTTAGAAAAGTAAAGGGGAAGGTTAAGCTCACTAGGCAAACAAGGTGATAAATACTACCATATAAATTAGACACTGAATGAGAGTCAATACTGACTTAGGAGCCTAACCAGCAAATCCAAACAAGCAGACTCCTAAAAGAGGAGGGAGAATGTAGGAGATGGTCCCTTCAAGGACAGAACTAGAAGAAGATGCCAAAAAGCCATAATATGATGGAAATGCAGATTCAACAAGTGCATTTTCTGTGTGAAAGCCCTCAGCATTTAGTTAAAAACAGACAGGTGTGAGCCTTGAAAGACAAAAAAGCTCCTGAGATAAAACCAAGGTTTTCCTGGAAAGTGAGCCTACGGATGGAAAAAAAAGTGTAAATATGAAGCTCTTACAGGACTGAAGCTGGGGGTTGGTTCAGAAACAATTAATTACCAACCCACACGATGGCTGGCCTCAGAGGAGGGGAATATTGGGAAGAATCCCTAGAAGATTTTAGAATGCAGGAAAGTTATTTCACAGAATTTCCTGAGATAAAACAGAGGGAGTTAAACTCCAGGTGAAGAAGAATATTCAGCAGCATGAAAAATAGGTTAGTGCAACATCCCCAGTAATAGTGTTGGGGTAGTGATTCCAAGCCTTATAAGGAAAGGTAAAGAGAACAGCAAGCTAAAAAGGTGAATAAACAAAAAAGGAAGACAAGCATATTGTTGTAAATGAAAAATGAAATAGGAGAAAAAGAAAATCCCCAAGTTGGAAGGAGAAATTCAATGGATTAGAGCACTAGAAAAGAGGAAGAATTCCAACCACAGGTCACAGCAAAGGACGTGGCAACTTAGAGTCAACATGAAGCAGAGACAGAAAGAATCTGCAATAATGCAATAATCAGGCAAGGGAGGAAGGGGAGAAAAAAAAAAACTTAAGAGTTGTAGTACATGCAAGCAGGTCAAATCAGCAGGAGTAACTCAAGTATATTTAGGGATAGAAGAACAAGAAGTGATGGCAGATTGTGGGAAGAGCTGGACATAGTCATCTAAAGACAAGGTAGGCTCAGCAGAAGTTACACAAGCAGGAAGCTGTGAGCCCTGGGTATGAGATAAAGAATGTAGGATAGAACCAACCATATGGTGTGCAATGGTAGTGAAGTTGCTCATCATCAGAATAGGTCCAGCTGCCATATCAAGAACATAAGCAAACTCCCATGTAAGAGTCTGGATCTTGGGAGGTTTCAGAAACATGGATATGAAAAGTCATATTCAACAAGATTTATGAAACTGAATTCATGGAAAGTAGTTATATACTTAGTTGTTGTTTTTAGTAGGTCTAGTATGTTGGTAGTACTTAATCTTTGGTCATATTCATAATGATGAAATTGAGATTAAGTGCTGAAACACAAAAAATGCTAGGTATATGACAATGGGAGAAATATTCCAGTAAAAAAAAAAATCATATTACAGACTTTGGAACATGTTTCAAAATATCATAGTTTGATTAAGAAAAAAAATTCAAACTGATTTAAGAAACGATAATAGTTTGTATTAGAAGCTCTAATTGAAATTAATTTAAATAATTTATTTCCTTCTTTCTCAAAATAGAGAAAATAAAGGTAAGAAAAATATCAAATCAACTGTTAACTAAAAGTTGAAAATAATAAATGGGAAAATTTAGTCTTTCTTAATAAAGAAAGAACATAACTGAACACAGCAGTGTTGAGGAAGAGAGTTATCTTTTGGTGTACACAAAGTGTTCAAGGGGCTGGGCATGTGTCTTCCTCTTATTGGTGGAGGAGGTACAATCCAACGCTGATTGCATCATAGACTGGTACTGTACACATTATTACATGTAGGGGTGGGAGTTTCATTCAAAGGCTTGGCACATGTGCAAAACATTTTCAGCAGTGGTGAAAGGTATAGCTATCTGTTCCATAAAGAGGTAAGCAGCATTTCTAAAACATATTTTTTTAACATTTAACTTTAGTGCAACTTACCCGAGTCTCCAAAATTATCTACTATTCCTTCAATACAACCTGACAGGTATAGTGCACTAGAGAAGACATTGGCAATGAAGAAAAGAGTACCAATACTGCCTCCAAATTCTGGACCTAAGGCTCGACTTATCATAACTATGCTATGTCAAAGAAAAACTTTTACTTGTTGAATACATGTATATTACACACAGCTGAAAGTTTACAAAAGATTAATTTCAATACTGATAGTTAACTTACATTTACAGATCATTATTTATTACTACATTTTGGAACTGCTTTGGAATATTACAGTTCACACAACAACCTTCTTACAAATTCAAAACTTAACAAGACAGAAATCTCTCTAAATATAAAACCTATAAAAAAAGATTGTAACTGGACAGAAATAATAAAAGAGAAGAATGCAGTACAAGTAAGTTGGTTGGTTGGTTTTTGAAATTTAATGGTGCAAAGCAACATGGCTATCTGTGCCATAGAGGTAAGACAGCAGAATCCACTCCACACCCCTAAGAACAACTTATTTGTTTTGGAAATAAAAATTCAGGGGTTTATTAAGGGCATGTATTATTTTGATATACTAGTAACACCATTTTTGCATATACATATATTATTCTTTTCATGTATACTGCACACACACACACCTGAAACAATACAGGATTATATATATATATGAGCAAAAGTACCCAAAACATGGGAAAAATTTACAAGTTAATCTAGCAAATGTTCCTAAACCATAAAACCTTTATTTTTAGTATGCAATGCATACTTTGTTTCCTGACAATATACATCTTAAACTTTGTTTGATAATGTATCTTGAATGTACCCACACAGAAGAATCATAACAAATAATGTAAGCTTTATTTACATGTATACAGTATGTTTTGGCATGTCTGTAATAACGTAATGTAAATCAATTCAAAATTTTACTGGCAATTGTTCATAACTTGTACTATAAAACAAGGATACAGTATGCTCCTCCTCCTTCTACAGCTCCATTGGAAGAAATTGCACAAATTGATAAAATAGTTGACACCACGATTAAATAGGAAAGAGTCATTTGGGCCAAACATTCTAGGACTCCAGCATAGCCAACAACATAACCTGTAGCAACCAGATAATATCAAAACAAGAATTACTGCTTAGTACTGCAACTACCAGGTAGAACACATTAACTCTCTCAATACAGGTTCATTCAATTTGACAAACATGTGCTCTTTTTGTACTCATTTAAAGTCTTTATAGATTTAATACTTATAACTCTCAATATATTGGGTATATCTTCATGAAATTTGGTAGTCTTTCAGTTAATATTACAAGTCTTTCACATACAAAATATCATATTTTTTAGTGAAGTATTTTGATAGATGAAAACCTTGACTTTCTATGGGTTATAGGTAATATATAATGAAAAGTAAGAGAGAACTATCAACCAATTGTGAAAGAGAGGATGTGACAGGTAAGTGTGGGAGGAGAGGTCTGATTTTCTATTCGATAGGTCTCTAACCAACCAAATTTGAAGGCTATAAAAATTATGGTTTGTTTGAGCAATAATGATTTTATAGAGTATTTTGCATTTAATTTCATACATTTTCAAAAAGTGATAGATAAAATAAAGATGATGACATGTGTCATGTGAGTCACACTAGTGGAAATTCAGGATTTTTTAAAATATTCCCTTGTAGAATTAAGATCTTAAAACTTCTATACTATTAAAATATGGATTATTAGCTAAGATTTTATGCTATTTTAATTGGTATAATATAAACAAAGAGTAGTTTAATAAACTTTTGACTGTAAAACATTAAAACCTTGTGCCATGCACAGTAAAGGGTACCTGGGGCGAGGGGGTCAAGAAACAGCATACACACACCCCACTAGGCAATTTCAGTCCATAAATAATCCTACATATATATTTCAGTATGAAATAAAATTTATTTTTATTGGGTAAACCAAAAAAGTTATTTTTAATTGTATTTATTAATGATTTTACAAGTATCCAAGAAGAATTTAAACCTACATGTATATTTTTATGAAAATATCTCACTGCCTAAATCATCTTTGAAATAATAGAAAAACAATTATATTTCTATATGTACTTGGTACAAAAATTTAACCTCTAATTTAGACCAATATGATGTCATATAGCTTTTAATCAAAATTACTAAAATAATTTTAGCTTTGTATAGATACCTTGCATCTAAATAACATATTGCTTTCTGTGAATAATCTCCATATTATGCAAACTTTAATTGCTAAATGTATTTCTATGAAAATTTTAAATGTTATGACAAAAAACATGTTGTCAACCTTATAAAGAAAATATATATTTGAAACACAGCATTAATATAAATCAAGTAAATCAAATATCATCCTTGTAAGAGTCTGCAGATAAGGTCTTACAAAAACAGCATAATCCTAAGTTTTGTTTTTACACTACTATTTGATCAAAAGATATTAATACACAATTAAGGTCTACTCAGTGGTAATATATAGTCAACATTAACAAATTATAATCATTTTCTGAAAGATGATCTATAAACTTACAAACATCAAAGTTATCTACATACCTACTCTGAGAAACAGTACTGCACTGAACATAGACAAACAGACTGGAGTAAAGACTCCTGAAAATGTCTTCAACTGTCGACTGCTACCTTGAGAAGTGCTACCATTATTCTCCATAACTGATGGGATTCTTCCATCAAGGCCACTGAGACTGCGAAACAGACGAGCATGTCTCACCAGTAAAGCTTTGTCATTAGAAGCAACTGCATTAGATATTCCTGGAGTTGAAGTTGTTGTGTTTACTGGAAACAGACTAGAGTGCACCTCAGTACTACTGTTACTTGCACCTCTATCTCTTATTGGATTGTTCATTCGTAAAAAACCACCTGATTCTGCCACATCTTCATCTAACAAACCAGCTGATGAAATATCACTTCATAATGACATTTTGTTGTGCTGTGTTGAAAGAAAAATAAAACTTTAGAAACTATTTCAAAAATCAGGACAAAGCTATAGTCCACAAAGCTACTGTTTTTTTGTATCAAAGCAAATTAAAAAAACAAACAAAAACAAATATTTTTTATCATTTTCACCCAAAATAATTTTATATTTTGTAATTTAACTATATTTGTTTTTCATTATGGTGGAATTCAAAACTGCATATCAAAAACCTACAGCAATTCATATAACTCCATTGTGTGTTAAATTAGAATATGTTATGATAAAAGGAAACCTAGTGATAAAGTTTAGGGCTCTGTATTCACACTAAGCCCTCTTCGGCTGGGCCCAGGATGCGGACTGGTGAAAGCCTTTGGGAAGCCAGCTCGCCGACAAGTTTTCTTATGACCAAGGCCAAGACCAGGATAGAGACCTGGAACACCAGAACCCTGTATGAGAATGGCAAGTCAGCAAAAGTGGCCAGCGAGATGAGAAGATACAACATCAAGGTTCTCGGACTATATGAGACCCGATGGAATGGAAGCGGCCAGACCAGACTGTCTTCAGGTGAAACCATCGTTTACTCCGGACATGAAGACGTGGATCACGACCACACCCAAGGAGTCACGCTAATACTGGCGTCAGAGGCTACAAGAGCAATGATGGCATGGGAACCCGTCTCAGCAAGACTTATGTCAGCAAGATTTAACTCTAAGGGCAGGAAGATAACCATCATCCAATGCTATACTAAGGTGGGAGACGACAACACAGACAGAGAACTCATCATGGGCAGACATGGCGTAGGCACCTGCAACGAAAACGGAGAGCTGTTTATAGACTGCTGTTCTTTCAACGACCTAGTTATAGGTGGCACCATCTATCCTCACAGGAAGATCCACAAGACCACTTGGACACCACCAAATGGGAAGACGGACAACCAGATCGACCACTTCACCATTGATCGCAAGTGGAGACGAAGTCTGCTGGATGTCAGAGCAAGGCGCGGCGCCGACGCAGCCTCAGACCATCAGTTGCTTGTGGCAACACTGAAGACCAAGCTGATATCCTCCTGTGACTCTTCAGGCAGACCACACCATAAATTTAACATTCAGTTTTTGAAAGATGGCAAGAAAAAAGAAGAGTTCAACTGTGAAGTCAGAAACAGTTTTGAGGCGCTGACAGATCTGGTAGAAGAGACAATAGAGAACCACTGGGCTGAATTACAGAAGACCTGGAAGACCGCTTGTACCAAAGTACTGGGGAAGAGGCAGAGAGAGCAGAAGGAGTGGATGTCGAAAGAAACATGGGAGAAAATAGAGAGGAGAAGAAAACTGAAGCAGAAGATTAATAGATGTCAGGACCAACAAGTGAAGGGAGACTTAAGAGCAGAGTACTGGGAAACAAACCGAGAATTGAAAAGAATTGCAAGACACGACAAGAGACAATGCATACAAGGTTTGACAGAGGAGGCAGAAGCTGCAGCTAGTCAGAATAACATGAAGAGACTCTATGAAATCACGCGTGCCTTGTCAAGGAAGAGCTTCAACCTAAGAAAGCCAGTCAAGGACAAACAGGGAAGAACCATCACAAGTGATGTAGAACAGAGAGCACAGTGGGTAGAGCATTTTGAGGAGATTTTGAACCGACCACCACCACCAGCTCCTCCTGACATACCACCAGCAGAGGAGCCCTACATGTCAAAACCAACCCACCAACCAAGGCAGAAATCATCAAAGCCATCAAGTCCTTGAAGATCGGCAAGGCAGCAGGTCCTGATGGCATCCCGCCAGAAGTTCTCAAGACAGACGAAGCAACTACATCCTCTCCTGCAGAAGATTTGGGAGCAGGAGCAAGTGCACTCCGACTGGAAGCTTGGGTACCTAGTGAAGCTGCCCAAGAAAGGAGACCTTTCCCAGTGCGGCAACTGGCGAGGAATCATGCTGCTGTCCATCCCCAGCAAGGTGCTTACTAGAATCATCTTAGAGAGACTGTAAGAGGCACTAGACAAAAGACTGAGATCAGAGCAGGCAGGATTTAGACAAGATAGATCGTGCACAGACCACATCGCCACTCTGCGCATCATCATCGAGCAGTCCATCGAATGGCAGTCTCCTCTGTATACAACCTTTGTTGACTTTGAAAAAGCCTCGACAAGGAAATCATCTGGAAGCTGATGCAGCACTACGGAATTCCTCCGAAGCTCATCAGCATCATCCAGCAGCCCTATGAGGACTCGTCTTGCAAGATCATCCTCAACGGAAAGCTGACAAGCCCCTTCCCAGTGAAAACCGGAGTGAGGCAAGGCTGTTTGCCATCTCCAACAATCTTCCTCATCGTCATGGACTGGATCATGAGGAGAACGACTGAGGGTAGCACCACCGGCATCCAGTGGACCCTCACCAAACAGCTGGAGGACCTGGATTTTGCAGACAATGTCAGCCTTCTGTCCCACAAGCAACAGCATGCACAGTCCAAGCTCACCCAGTTCGCTGAGGAGGCAGGAAAGACCGGTCTGAAGATCAACACCAGAAAGACAGAGGTGATGCGGCTGAACAACAAACAAGAGCACCCACTGCAGCTGCAGGAAAAAGACATCAAGGAAACAGAGCACTTCGTTTACCTTGGAAGCATAGTAAGCAGAGACGGCAGCACAGACGAAGACGTTAGGAGCCGGATCAACAAAGCAAGGCTCGCGTTCAACACTCTGTGACTCATCTGGAACTCCAAAGCCTTATCTCTGTGCAGCAAGATCCGCATCTTCAACACAAATGTAAAAGCAGTCCTCCTGTATGGGTCCGAGACATGGTGAGTTACGAACACCATCA